AAAAAAAAGGGTGAAAGGACTTTGATGAATGAAAAACTGCTGATCATATCAGAATGGATCTCCTATGTAGGAAAAAATACTAGAACATCAGTGTGGGAATTAGGTCAATTAAGTATTCCAAGCAGGTATAGAGGATTTAGGACAGGGCAGAAGAACAGTAATAAGATTAAGAAGGTCTAAGCAGCGAGGGACTAACTAATGTCAGGCAAAGAAAAGAAGTTTGAACTTCCTGTGAACTTTATGTGGCAGGAAACTTAAGATTTAAATGCAAAATTAAACCATTCCACTACCTGTATTTTAAAAGAAAGAAACAAACAAAGTCTTAGTCCAAGTCATAAGCGACTGAAAGCACACTAATAAAATAAAGGTCACTATTTCATTAACAAATGAACTAATACACATAAAGTATACAGACTGGTCTCATGTCCAGAAGAGTTATTGAACAAGTTACTGAACACTGTGCTCTCTCCATTTGTCCATCAACATTTGATTCACTGACCCACATTAATGGAATCGGACTTGGCAGAAGGGCAGATGAATGCAAGCAGATGAGAAGACACACTGAGCTTTCATAATGATCAGAAAAATAAACATTCTTTGGAACAAAAATGGTTACATGAAAGAAATATAAATGATATATCCTAAAAAAAAAAAATGGAGATGTTTTTAAAAATAAGTACAAAGTTATGATAACTGAGAGTTTATATAATCAGTAAGGCTTGAAGAAAACCAGGAAATTTCACAATTCTTGTTCCACCTTTCCTATATTCATGAAATAAACTACAGGTACATTTATAGAAAGATGATTACTATTATTAAGATATTCTAGCTTCTGTGGACTTATCTTTTTTTTCAAATTCTTGTAATCCCTTAATACTATAGAAGAAACTTTAAATTCCTTCAGTTTCAACGAAGGCAGAGACAGTGCTTCATACTGAAGACGGACTTACAAAGTGGACTTAAAGGGGCAAAAAGTTAGATTTTTCTCCACATGAAGGCAGTGTGGAGACACCTCGTACTGTTTTAGCTTTTATGACTGATTTTTCAGTGTAGTTTCAGGGTTGGTTTTTTTTTTGCAAAGCTGTGATTTCTAAATATTTGATGAAAATTTACCTATGGTATTGTGAGATTTGTTTTGTCAAATGATACTGTTTTTAAAAGTATACATGTTATGTTTAGACAACAGAAGGAAAAAAGCTCCAATAAATTATTTTATTAAACTCTGAAATTTTAATCAGTCAACTTGTTTGCATTATGGAAAATATTTTAAGCAAAATATAATATAATAATATTATATTACAATTATATTATTTAATAATAATCATGCAAAATATCTTTCACTACATAAAAAATCTGACAGATTATATTTCACAATGGAAGAGATGCTTATGCATGGACTATCACTATCACAATTGCTGCAAGTAATTACATACAATTTTCAACATAGGAAGTCAAAAGATTTCTGAGGGACAAAAAATACGTGCACAAACACAAAACAAAAACCACAAACAAACAAAAAAAACTCACAAACAAAACCAAACTAAACCATACAAACCCAAAACACTAAGTTACAAAATTAAGGAAAAAGTGGAAGAAGCTTGCAGAAAGAGGCTGTGATATTAACAGACCAGGATCAACAATGATCCCATTAACAGCAGCAGCACCAATGAGGCCTGGAGAAAGATAACTGCACATATTATAAGAAGTAAACTATCTCTGAGAACTGTAAGAAGTGCAATTTCAATGGAAAATACATAATGGTAATACAATGATGTGTAAAATATACAGGAATCAAAAAAAAAAAAAAACACATAAGGTAGAAAGCTAGAACAGTGCAATGAAAATTAAATTTCTCTTTTTGTCTTTCTAGGTATTAAAATTAAGAAAGAAAGCCTGAAAGAGATGGGCACCTGATACACTGTAAGTAAACTCTTTTTGTGAAAGAATAAAAGGAATATTTATTTCTCTGATTTGACTTTTTAACGAACTGAGGACATGAGAGCTGTACAGCCATTCTTGATAGTCCTTATAATGTAATGGGAAGTTTTATAAGTGAAATACCATTTGTGTAGCACTGAAAATCACTTCTCAATTTATATAAAAGTTGTCACACGCAGAGTAGAAGAGAATGTGTATAAGTGGATACCATCTAAAACCCAGAGACAAACTGTTTAAGTACAGTGTATAATACTGAGCAATTGAAACATATATTTGACAAAACATTAAAAGAACAAAGGAACCTAGAGGTAGTACGTCAGTTTAAAAGCCTACTCCCTAGAACCTATGAAACATAATATTAAGAGATACTTAGCTACTATAATGAGATCACAAGGATGGAAAAGAAGAGAATATTTTAGGCTTTTTATGAAAAAAATAATAGAATCAAAGAGTAAGTGAAATCTAAACTTATCAGACATCCCTAAAATGAAGCTTAAAAAAACTTAATTTCTTAAAGCTATGCTTCAGTAACAATGTATTTTAAAGTGAAAATAGATGTGAAATGCTTGAGGCCTTGGTTATTTTGATTCCACACTCTTGTGCCAGAGACAAGGAAAAAATACCTAATTCTTATAGATAACAAATGGTCATCATCACAGAACCATAGAATATCCTGAGTTTGAAGGGATTTGCAAGGATCATTGAAATCTAACTCCTGGCCTTGCACAGTACCATCCCAAGAGTCACACCATGTGCCTGAGAGCATTGTCCAAACACTTCTAGAGCTCTGTCAGGCTTGGTGCTCCCTGGGGAGTCTGTTCCAGTGCCCAACCACCCTCTGGGGAAAGAACTTTTTCTTAATGCCTGACCTAAACCTCTGACACAGCTTCACAGTTTTATGTAACTTCTTCACTAAGAGTCAGTTTAACAGTATATATGCTGAAGACTCCTCCA